TAAAGGATTTTGTTTATGACCCAATCATTTGATCAATGTTTAACTGGAGCGAACTTAAAAAAGAAAAGATTTTGTATTTATTTATTTAGGTATTTTTATATAGCGCTTACCTTAAAGCTCTAAGCTTTAAAAGATAGGCTGCAAGCACATTTATGTTCTATATAATTAACAATTGTAAAAATGTAGCGGGCTTGGTATTTTATTTTTGCATTGATAAAATTCATTCACAAAGCATTTACAGGGTTTCTTGAAAAAAAAAAACGAAAAAAAACCTAGTTTACATGTTAATTTATAAAAAAATAAATATGAAAATGAATTTGATTGTTAAGAAAATAAGAATTTCGATGACAAATCAAACATTCTATGAGGTTTTGCACATTGCTTTCCATCCTTTGAGTGGGGGTGGGAGAGAGGCGAGGTTTAGTGCCTCGAGATGGGACCGTGGTCGGCCCATCTTTCATATCAAATTCCGAGCGTGGTAAATGAGGTTAAAGCTGGAATCAAATGTTTAGACTGTTGATTGCCTACATTAACGTACACACGAATTAGGCCCTACTATCTGTGTAGGCAACTATTTGTAATTCCCTTTTGATCAGGTCTGGATGGCTCCCCATTCTAAAAACCAGCCTACTCCTCGTACAAAGAATTCTAGATGAAGTAGGCCTACTGCGTTCAAGGCTGTGTAAAGGAAACAGTGGAACACGTTTTGTGGAAGCTTGAAATATAAAGACAGGACAGTAATAAGGAGAACGTTTTGGCTAAGAGCCATCTTCAGCAGACAAGGCAAATGAAGAGACGTTCCCTTTTTATTCTGCTGTCTTTATAGTCCAAGCTTCCATATACCTTGTTCCACTATTTCCTTCACGTAAAAACACTGCCACGTGAAGAGGGGGCGATCCACCCATGGACACACTTTTTGGTGTTGCATTTTTTTCCCACGGCGTATAATGTGATAAACATTTTCTTAAAACAACTTGTAACCCAAGTTTGAAGTGTTTTTGTATGTTTTGTACTTTTCGTGATTGAGTGCAGGGTTTCTTTCAGCTATATCTCGGAGGGGGGGGGGACGACGATACTGCCCTCCCCCGGGGAAAGCCAAGTGCCGCCCCTGGAGCAAAAATATGTCCAACAATAAATCAACTGGCATTGCCACCCCCACCCCCGAAAAAATCTGAAGTGGGCCCCCCCCGGGGGGGGGGGGGGAATTTCTGAAATAATCACTGATTGAGTGGCGGCTAAATCAATGACCTCCCCGGGGGTCACAAAGTCTAAGTGCGAGACATGCTAAATACAACCATTTTCAACATCAGTGTCATTAATCATTAGCACTTAGTTTGCTGAAAAAAAAAAACATTTTCACAAAGCCTCAAAGCACAAACTTAGACCGCGGAAGTTATGGCCATAGGGTTCGAAGACGCTCTCGAAACGGCTTAGGCTTAGGCCTAATTATGATGTAGTTGAGCCAGACTTGTTTATATAGTATAAGGACTATCAATTGTAATTAATTCTAGATACCATTTTCTATGAGTATTAAAATATAATAATTTGATGAGTAGGCCTATGGATGCAACACAAAAGAAATCGGAAAAAATCGTCCATGGGTGTGTGGGGGAAAGGGGGGGGGATGTGGAAAAACAAACAAACGGCAACATTAAAACCTAACGCTTGCTTCATGCACTTGCTAAATGTAAGTCATTTTTTTAAAATGGCTGTGCCAGTGAGACAGTGCTGGCTTATTCTAAAAGCAAACTTAGGCACGTGACAATGGGGGCCAGCGACAAAATTGTTCTAATGATGTTATCCTGAAAATACGTGTCATGGCGTCATGCCCAAAAGTGATTAGCATCTTGGACATCTCCATAGCAACATATTGAGTTTTTGAAGTCAATGAATTAAAGGGGTTGTGGTTATGGGGGTGGGGGGGGGTGGGGGTGAGAAGAAGTAAGGAAAAAACTCGCAATTTTCATGGAAGGTGTAGGCCTATTAATAAAAATGCGAACGAATTTCTTATATTGCCAAGTAAATCAGTTCACACACTTTATTCCATGAACAGAAACTTGCTCGATTTGCTTCATTTATGGGCTTAACGTCAATCGAAATTTTAACAATTATTTTTTTTTTTTTTAAACCGTTGACGTTGATCACCAAGATAGCGAATGTCATCTATTTTCAAGACGCAACACTAGTTTTGAAAAGAGAGTGATTGCTGATGAAGGCTTTCATTCGTAGCAACACTGGCTGACTAGTGCGTCAAGCTTTCCAGTTGTGAGGAAAATCATTAAGATTTATTCATTAAATTGAAGGGGAAAAAAAGTTAATTACGATGAAAGATACCGACATTAAAGGAGTTCCCCATTTAGGCTTCAAAAGGAACAGTTGAGGCGACAACACTTGACACATTTGCGTCTATTGCCTCAGGCCTTTCAATTCCCAGTGCATGATACCATCACTAAGTGGCCCTTGCAGCTAGTGAAATATCCTCGTCAGCACCAGGCACAGAAACATTGCAAATCCCCTCTACATGCACAGGAGCCAGAATGATCAAAAATTGACCGTGGGCCCCTGATATATAAAAGAAGAAGAAGATTTTAGAGAAACTTATAGGCCTAATGTCTAATGATTTATAATGACATTGAGTTGGAGTCAATGTTCCCTTTCAGCTGCGCGGCCGCGCAGTAATCTCACAGACGCCACGCAGCAGTTTTGAGTACCGCGCAGCTAATTTCCACTTAAGGGTGTGTTTGTGTCTGTAGGCTGTAAAATTTGCGCACAAAAAAAAATTGATGCTGTAAAAATTTGCACACAAATTTATGATTTTGCACACGAACCAACAAACCTTGGAGGGAACATTGGTTGGAGTTAGGAGCAAAATTAAAATATTTCATGTTTAAGTTAGAAGTCTTCTGAAAAATGCAAGCATGTCAATCATGTTTTGTAGACCCAAACATTAGCAATTAGCATATTGATCGTATTATTATAGCATACTATTTTTTTTAATATTGCATAATCAACGTTGTCAGTTGTCGTTCTCAAATTTTACGACGACAGCGTTATGAATTCGTAAGTGTCTAAAGAGCACAACATTTTTTCAATGATAAAGCAACGAATGTCAATAATTTTTGTTTACTTTTTAATGATTATTAATGTCTTTTTCTTTTTCATTAAAAAAAAAAAAAAGACAATGGAGCACCATACAAAAATTGCGGTCTAATGTATTTATGGACCGATTTTATTTGATCCAAAATTGAAACAAGGAATTTCTCTCAAAACAAAATCTGAACGCTACAATAACAAATATTAACGAATCAATTTAAATTGTAAACAAGTAAGCATGGTGGATTGGAATGGACTGTGAAGTTCTATTTAATTATAATTTAATGTACTTAGTCATCCTCAGTCTTGAGAATTAGCATTTTGTGATTCATCGAAGAATATGACTAAGATTATTAAATTATATTTATTAGACATAATTAATGATAAGAATTATAAGAATTATAATCAAATTAGGCCCAAGTCTACTAGTACTAGTCTAAGACTAAGTCTAAGTTAGACAGTCTAAGTTATCAGTGAAGTCTAAGACTAAACTAAGACTGACTAAGACTAAAGTCTTAGCCACTCTTAGACTTGCTTAGTCTTAGTCATTAACACTAACAGTACTGTAACAACTCAGTCACTAAGTCTAAGACTCTAACTGAGCAGACTAAATCGTAAACCTAGGACAACCTAACTATTAAGCGTGCCACAGCCTAAGTGCCCTACTAAGCCTAAATAATAATTACTTTTACTGAGCTATACTGTAGATTAATTGATAGCCCCTACCCTAACTTAACATAATAATACTAATAGGCCTACTAATTACTTAATTTCATTTTCTTTTGGCAATGTCAATTAGTTTATCATTGTAATTGAAATTGACAATTTAATAGTAAAAATTGTTGGATTGTCATCCATCACTGATGACTGATTCATCACTGAATTCACTGTCATCTGAGTATTGATTTTGAATGATTCATTCTTTCTTTGTTGAAATGCCCAAAAAATAAAAGTGAATGTGAATATACATTTTACACCTTTACCTGGTTTCTACTTATAATAAGATGCTAAAAATGCAACTTAACTGAGATTATGAAAATGAATGGAATGGAAGGAGGTTACCACAGGTCATTGGCAGATCTTGTCACATATCTGACGGATACAAATAAGATTTTACATTCATCCCGAAGTATTCTTATGACTTAGGCTCAAGCCCATTTAGCTCTATGAATGGAATGGAAGGAGGTTACCACAGGTCATTGGCAGATCTTGTCACATATCTGACGGATACAAATAAGATTTTACATTCATCCCGAAGTATTCTTATGACTTAGGCTCAAGCCCATTTAGCTCTACCCATCGGGTATTACACTGACTTAGGTAGGGCGCTACATGCCTTACCCAACAGCTGCCTTATTCTTATTCGAATCATTCTTTTAATCCTTAGGCTGCACATATAGTATATAATATAGCTACATTAAGTAGGCCCTACAATTTATTCTTATAAGCTTACCAGCGTTACCACACATCCTGGTTTTAACAGGATCCAGTGGCATATAATGGGTAGCTCCACCCAGGCTGCATATTTATTTTGTGCAGTATTTTCTGCAAACTGCAGAGTTTTTTCGTGGAATTGGGGTGGCAGAAATCTTGGCCCACCCCAGGCATCACTAACTAGCTACGCTACTGCTAGGGATCATCCCGGCTTAGCAATAGTGTCCTGGCCGGTTTGATATTCTGTCCCTGTCTCAGTCACATTTGCCATGTCTATTTTATGTATGATTGTACACAATTTTCATTTCAGAACTTAATTGGTAATGAAACTAAGCCACATTTCTATGTTAAAAGACTGTCATGTTCTTAGCTTACAGTGTATGATCACAGTGTGATTCACTGATTTATCTCTACTTATCCTCGTCAATTTGCTCATATTTATTTTATGTTTTTTTAATGTACTTTCACTTCAGATTTTATAATGGCAAAAAAGAACAGAAAGTCAGCCACTATTGATGCAAAAAATATTAATAATGCGGAAAATAGCAAGAACAAAGTGGGTAATAAAGGTGATGATGACACAGCAGAAGAAAGTATGATTGTTGATGAGGAAGAACCATCAGTAGAAGAAGGTGAAAATAAAGAGCTTGAAGAAGACATTGAAGGTCCTAGAGAATTCGGTGGTTTTACGGTTCTTGGTGATTTTAAAGCAAAAGAAAAAAAGAAGGTAGGGTTTAATAGAAAATATCATTCACTCACAGTCTGCCTCCTGCTCTCCCTCTCTTTCTCTCTCTCCTTCCTCCCTCTATCTTTTCTCCCTCTGTTTCTTTCCCTCCCCTAGTGCTAATGAGTGTTGCATATGCTGTTTATGATAATTAAGAATTGACTAAATCTGCATGCAAATGGAATTGATTTCTCATAGGTTGAAAGAGTTTTGCCCAATTGGCTTCATCATCCAGTTCTAATTGGGACAGATGATGTCAGAGATTTCTCCAGCATTAAGGCATTAGATCAGAATCTGGTTAAAAAGTTAAAAGAAAACGGCATTAGCTCCTGTTTTCCTGGTAAATATTTTATTTCATTTCACTCAAAACTTAAGCCAAATTCACTGGGTTCACTTGTTATATTAGGCTTACTGATAATAGATAAATACACCTTGTGCTAAAAAAAAACTTTGATTATGGAATGATTAATTGATACAATGAAATAATTGTTTAAGGGTGATATAAATAAAAGCCGTTTGCAACTATTTCACTATTCCCAGAGCAAATGTCTTCCGAATTTAGGATACTTGGGTTTCCTTTAGAGCACCACAACAACAAAAAAATTTAAAATTATAAAACTATTTTATTGCAGTTCAGTGGAAGGTCATACCAGAGCTTCTAGCTCAGAGTAATTGTGGAGTGTATGCCGGAGATGGAGGCTTTCGTCCACGTGATGTTTGCGTATCTGCACCAACTGGAAGTGGCAAAACCCTCACCTTTGCCCTGCCCATTATTCAGGTAGTTATATGCATAAAATGAATTCTGTTGGAGAAATGCTTATTACACAGTATATAGAGGTGTTTTCTGTGTCTTTTTTCCCCACATTTAATACACTCATGCATTTTCAATAACAATATCAAATATTTTTTACTTTTTGGGGAAGTATGTAACTTCATTAGTTGCCCAAAAGGTACTATATTCCTGTAATTCTTTTACCTTGATAGTACGCACCACAGAATAATGTGAAATGCACTTTTTGTTTTTTAATAACTTAACTTCTGTTTTTAACTATAACATAGAGCGCTTCCTGTTCTAAAGGTTGAGCTACATTGACATAATTGAGATTTTTGAAAACATAAGTTTAATTTCTTTTTTAAAATTAAATATCTGTTGTTTCTTGTTTTGTATTGTCTATTGAAGAAGGTTTCTAGCCAAAACGTCAGTTTAATAGTCCTTTCTTTTATAATTGAGATTTTTGAAAACATAAGTTTAATTTCTTTTTTAAAATTAAATATCTGTTGTTTCTTGTTTTGTATTGTCTATTGAAGAAGGTTTCTAGCCAAAACGTCAGTTTAATAGTCCTTTCTTTTCAAGCCTAAATATATCTTTTTCCACTATTTATTTACCTTTTGCAAGGATACTTATGTGTACAGCTCAATTGAATTATTTGACGACCTCAACAAATACAGAATTAAATGCTTGCAATATGCTAACAATGGCTTAAAGCAAAAATCTTTTTATAAAGATAAACAGCATTCCTCCAGGATAAATAATGTGCCTTCTCCATCAAAATTCCATTTTGCTGGGCATCCTATGAGTGTTTACTTTTAGTTTTGAACGACGAATATGTTGAGGTACCAGCAAATGTTTAAAATTGTTTTTTTTTATTCCTGAGTACTTTTTTTAATATAAACTGTGTTAGTTAAAAATTAATTTTAAAATATATGTTTTAATTATAGATGCTGTGCAGGAGAAAAATACTTTGGATCTTTTGTTCGCACAGTTTTTAAAAAAGAATTTGCATGTTGCCAATAAAATCATAACCAATAATAATATTTCAACACTTTTCTTTGGTTGCCAATGAAATTAATAGGCTCTACAGCACCGTGTTGTGCCACATGTGAGAGCACTAGTCATTCTGCCGGTCAGAGATTTAGCAATTCAAGTATGCAAAGTTTTTGAGCAATATATACAAGGAACACAGCTCAAGGTAAATGGTTTTTAATGTGGTAATTATTTTTTGTGCTTTATGAGGAGAAAGGGACTTAATATCACTGCCCTCTGTGTTTCAGTTTCTTCAATATTTTCACACTGGCTTTTTTAAAAATATATATCTAGCAGTAAAATGTGTTGATTATTCATACAAGGAACACAGCTGAAGGTAAATGGTTTTTAATGTGGTAATTATTTTTTGTCCTTTATAAGGAGGAGAAAGGGACTTAATATCACTGCCCTCTGTGTTTCAGTTTCTTCAATATTTTCACACTGGCTTTTAAAAAAAAAAATATATCTAGCAGTAAAATGTGTTGATTATTCACCTGCTTTCATAATTAGAAAATACAGCTAGTGCTCGACTTACGACCTATGCAACTTATGACCATTCGACTTTACGACCACAATCACTAGCCATATTAGATTTTATATTTATTTCTAATAAGAAACAAAATAGTGTAGAGATGACAAAATGGCATAAAATGAACATCGAAAATTATCATTTATATCAATAATAAAAGAAATTTATGATATAATTTAACAAATATTTTTATAACCACACTTCACATTACTGTACACGTAGCGTACTCAACTTAGGACCAAATCGTTTTATGACCGGTCTGTCAGAACCGACAGCACTAGCTGTATGTTAAAAAAGAAACAACTAGGAGACTTATTTGTAATAATTAAATAACAAGCAACATAAAATAATGTTATGATTGCAAAGCAACCGCTTGAAACACAATATAAAAATGGTGTGGTTAAACAGAAGAGTTAAACACAATTCCCTTTGANATGTTAAAAAAGAAACAACTGGGAGACTTATTTGTAATAATTAAATAACAAGCAACATAAAATAATGTTATGATTGCAAAGCAACCGCTTGAAACACAATATAAAAATGGTGTGGTTAAACAGAAGAGTTAAACACAATTCCCTTTGAAAAAATGATTATTGTTAAGTAGTTACAATCGGCTCATGGGATCAATAGGAAGGAAGGAATGCAGAAGTTTTTTATATTTTTACATTACTCTCCAATTCGTCAGTTTCACTTCTTATTTGACAGGTTGTGTTACTTGCCGGGAAAAAAGAATTCACAATTGAACAAGGCTATTTAAGAAAAGAAAGGTAATTGTTCCACTTTGTTTTTCGGGTTGAAATGTTAACATCTTTTTTGTTACCCTACCCTCAGTAGATAAGCTTAGGGCACTTTACCACTACCCACCCCCCTTGCTATAAAAATAAAAAGGTTGTTTATCAATTATGTTCTAAATGGAAGGTAGAGAATGCATTCGGGTGATGCAATTTTTAGAATTTTTTTCTCAAGGGTTCTAAAACCATCCCTAAAAATAAGCCAGCAGCTTTCCCAGCCACTAGATTTCTTCCTAGAGACAAGACTTTTAAGACTTAATATACTTATGAGAGCCATACAAGATTTTACTTTTTGTGTATGTGTATATTAATATTGGCCTCTTTTGAGGCTTATTCTTTTTCACTTTAAAAGTTAAAAGAGGTTTTATTTCTTATATTTGATTTTGTAAATCAACTTAATAGTATAATGATTTAATTATTGTTAATATCACTAGCTTTGGTATAGTTTTCTTTGTATACTGGTTTCCAGTCCTTACTTCATCTAAATCTAACGAGCCAAGTCTTAGATCAGGTTAAATTTCCTAAACAATATAACACTATCTAACACTGGCATTTCAAAGTATTTTACATGGATACATTCATGAAATGTAGATTGGTTTAGATTTATGCAAGTTGTATCACTTGCTTTATTTGAGACATCTACAGCTGTGTCAATTCAATAGCTTTTAATAACTTACTATAATTTCATAGAAAGCTCACTATATTATTATGTATTATTCATTAACTAATCATTTAAATCATTGTTCCAGGCCCCATGCTTTGCCTTCTGAGAAATGGGTCAGCCTAGCTGATATTGTAGTGGCAACAAAAGGGAGGCTGCTGGACCACATTGCCAGAACAGAAGGGTTTGACCTGACCCACTTGAGATTTTTGGTATGACATCCTTCACAGCTCTACTCTGTAAAGAAAATAATACTTCTCGGTTGTTGTGTTATTCCTGTTGTGGTGATATGTTGGAGTTGAAAAGTCCTTGTGATTCCATTCGTTTTTTTAAATTCTTTTTGGAATAATCAAGTATTATTTTGTCCAATTGCATAATTAATTTGTTGTAATGATTCAGAGAAATGAAATTTAGCTTGAGACACATGGAAGTGCTGTGTTCTTTTGTACTGCGTCTCATTTTTTGTATGCGTTGCTCTTAGGTTCTTGATGAAGCTGACAGACAAATGAATGATATCTATGATGACTGGCTGAGCCAGGTTGAGACAGCTGCTTACACTCCCAGACCTGGGTCATATGCCCCATACATCAGAGACAAACCTGGTCCATTCACATTAGCCAGGTTAGTTTGGTAATCTTTATACATTCACAGTCAGGTGTGGAAGGAAGTGGAACTCTTCACTCATAAATGTAAGATCATTTCTGTTCAAACCGGAAATTACTATCTCTGTGGCGCAGTGTACTGGTCTTCTGAATTTTTATCATACCAGTGCCTCATTAGGTAACAAATACATTCATATTATTAAGGTTAGCAGAAAGTAATGGCTGCCAACTTTCTCACTCCATGCAGGCATACACACTATACAGTTATAGTATTTAAGACACTGTCATTATTATAAGGAAGATAGTTGCACAATAATATTACCTGTGTGTCAACTTAATGTTTGACCAAGTTATTTTAAATACGACAATTGGCACATTCAATGCTATCTCATCAGAGTAGAGGTTTTCAGTCATACGGTAGTTCAAAATTAGTTCATGGTAATTCATACACTAATTTGTTTGTCTTATATCGTAAAATGAATCAGAAATTTGGCATGTGCAACTCTATCTTTCTTTCTCTTTGGAAACAATGGAAGTAATTATAAATGTAATATCTTTCCACAGCTGCAAGAAAGTTGTCATGCATGTAAGTAGGTCACCACTTGATTATTATAACTCTTTTATGAAAATAGATTTGTAAGTTTGCCTTCATGGCTTGTAAATATATTTACAAATATGTAGGAAATAAAGGAGAAATAATTGATGTCTTAAGAAATTATATATTGCAGCTGAAAAAAACAAAAAAAAATACTGTACTGTAAGTTCAGTGCATTCTCTTTGTACCATTTGCTCTGTCATCAGTTTAAAGTAACAGCTTTTTGTGGCTATTTTACTTTGAGTTAGAAAAGGTGAGTTCAAAGAATACTTGAACCGAAACATCTGGATTGTAATAAAAGTAATATTAACACACAAAAAAAACAACAACTGATGAGCATGATGTCATGGGGGGCTGAAAGTAGATCTTAGAAATATTTTCTTTAAAATACTTGCTCAGAAATTATGTGTCAGTGTAAATAAATGAGCTTGTAATACATAGCTGAAATAAAAAGTATGTTAATGTTTTATCCAAGGTACAAAAGCTGCTGTTTTCTGCCACCCTGTCTCAGAATCCAGAGAAGCTGGAACAGATGAATCTCTTCATGCCTCTCCTGTTTACGGCTGTTGCCCCAGAACCAACTTCCAGACTATCTGATCACTCTCATATCCAGAGCAATGATATTATCGATACAGGTAGAAAAAAGGAACTTGATAAGTCTTAAAATTAGATAATTATCAGCTGACCTGTAGCCATCATTTTTCATTGTCTCCGACGCATCTCCCTAATTCTCACCTATTCCCATCCCTTCCACCCCCCCCCCACGACGCATCTCCCTAATTCTCACCTATTCCCATCCCTTCCACCCCCCCCGCCACCCGTCATCTCTGCCCATTTCTACCTCATTCCCTGCTCTCTATGCTCACTGCGCCTGCTCTCAGACCAAGCAAAAGCACAGAATTAGCATCCATATAAACAATTAGCATCCTTATAAACACTAGTCTAGCAACTAACATAAAGATGCTCTGTCAATGAACCACTTATGCCATATTTGTTAAATGGCAGACCTGTTATACTCTTATGATCTTGATGTACAATGTATGATTTTTATATGTCTTTTACGATTCTTCACCAAGACCCGTAAGGACTATATTTTTAAGAGACCTGTTTGAAAATATATACATTCTGGTAGTTTTTCAGACTAAAAAAAAAGTATTAAAAAGTACATTTTTGGTTGTTAGTTTTACCTGGCATTCTACATCCAGAGGTGAATGGATCGAGACATATGATTTTTTTGGGGACCATCTATAATTATATTACATTTACCCTGAGATGGGAATGATTTAGGAGATTTTGTATATGGGGAGAGGGGTCTAAATATTTATGTCTATAAAATTAACACTGCCACGTTTTCGTATTGATGCTGGTGATGGTCATATTGTTGCTTTGTTTTCATAATGAACTTTAGTCAATCCTCACGTTTATTTGCTTTGGTGCTATATGATGTAATTTTGTGATGTAATTATTTTGTTCAGCTTAACTAGGGTGAGTGCGGAAAATTAAATTTCAACATATTTTATAGTATCTGAGAGGGCCTTTGAAATCTATTTTTAGAGTGCACAAAACCACTGTACAATTTTAATACCCCCTCTTCCTTTCACCCATTTACAGCTTGTGTTAGTTATCAGATTTTGTGGGATGTTAGGAGTTCTAGGGTAACCAGGTCTGACAGGAGTGGAAGAAACAAGCTACCAAAATTTGAACATTTAATTATAAATTAGCCACTTAATGCCTGCTCCTTAGTACTGAACACAATTAATATTGTGATCCTGTGCAACCTGGAACCTTCTGTTTACAGCCACTGATTAAATTTAAAAAAAAAAATCATAATTAAGAGATTGAATGTTACTTCTGTTGGGTAAATAATATTTTTTTCTTTTAGAAAATGGAGCAGTTGATAAATTTTCTGCACCAGCACTACTGAAGGTAAGTTTTGTGTATGCTTCTCCTTCCTTCCAACCTGAATGTGTGTGTGATAATGTAGCAGAGTATAAAGTGTCTTTAAAAAATTTGCTGTGCTTTTTATTTTTACTCAATCGGAAGTTATGAAAGAGTAAATTTTTGCATAAGATGCTTAACAAAAATAATCTGTTGTTTTTTTTATAGTCTAAAAGCATTGTATTACATTAACATTATTAGTTAAACATATGTCATTCCTTTCCAATAAACTTTTACTTCAGTAAATATGGATTATTAAAATATTATCCACACATTTTGGGGTGGGGGGTCATTATATGAAATTGTACACGTTTTAATATTTTGTGCCGTCTCAACCAGTGTGTACATATGATAGAATTACGGCAGTCATAATATCATAGATATAAATTATGACAAACCCAAAAAATTGAATTTTCCTTGTGGTATACCGGCATAAAGTTTATCCACTGTTATGTATTAGATTTCTTAAAACTTACTACACTTCAAAACATCTGTGATGATCCACTTCATCATACTGATGTAATCTGTGGATGACAGATTTTCAGTTGTTAACTTACACTGTCTTATGTTGCTTTTGTACAATTAGGAAAAGTTTATGGACTGTAAGAAAGCAGAGAAACCACTAGTCTTACTTCATTTTCTTCTCAACAAACAATTCAAACAAGTCTTGTGCTTTACTAACTCTGTGGAATCCACTCATAGGTAACCTTTACAATAAAGTTTTCTCGTTGAGTGTAGACACTCAAGTCAAAACCTTGGGGTTCATTTTTTAAAAATAATTAATAATACATGTAGAAAAAAAAAGATTACACATATTGTCGACAGAACACCTCAACCTGTGCATTTTTTAATTATTTACTCAGAGGTTCCAAGAATCCTATTCTAATGAAAGAAATAAAATTTCAAAAATAAAAAGGGGGGGGGGTGTATTTAATTACCAAATTTTTTGAATAAATTAGATATATTGTATTTTACTTTTTGAAGCTTAAGTGTTGGTGTATGCAAATGGGGTCCAGATTTATGAAATAATCCTTAAAACTAAATTTTTCTTTTTCTCAAAGTAAAATTCCATTTTAAAGTCATTTACAACATGCCTTAAATTTTGTTGCTTAATAAACATATCCATGACTATATTAGGCTTTTTTGTGGTCTCCCAAAGGTTATATCTTCTAGCTAAACAGATGGAGGGTCTTAAAGTGGCTGAGCTTTCATCCAATGTGCACACAATAAAACGTGAGAGAATCATCAGAAAATTTGCCCGGGGTGATCTCCAACTGTGAGTTATGTTTTTGGTAGGAAAAAATATTGATATTTACAAGCATAACCACCAGGCTCAAAAACATCCAAATGTAATCTTGAAATTCAACTTATTTACATTGGTTTATCCCATTTGTCTAGGCTTGTATGCTCAGACGTTATGACGAGAGGGATGGACATTGAGAATGTACAGTATGTTATTTCTTATGATGCCCCTCCATACATTGAGACGTATATACACAGAATTGGACGGACGGCCAGGGCAAACAAACCAGGGACAGCTATAACTTTGCTGGAAGGAAAAGAGGTAAGGCATGGGGAAACTTAAAAAAAAATATCCTTATGTTTTAGGTGAATTGCTGTTAAAGGGATAAAAAAATTGATTGGAAAGAACACCTGTATATAAGGGGTTTAATTAACTTTATTCTGTATCTGGCTATAATGCTTTTCTCGCCCAAGTTAAGCATGGTGCTTTTTGCTTGCCTTGATGATAATTTACTCTTATGCAAAAGACATTTTCTAGAGGCAGCTTGCCTTTGACTGCTGTCCTGTCTTACACATTGCAGTTTAGAGATTGCTTTGTTCAGCTTAGCACACAAAGAAATTTATAAATACAGGTTTTATTTTTTTCACTAAATCAGTCTTTTAGCTAGGCATCAAGGTGGGGGAAAGTTCAAATGTAGGCTGATTATCAGAGGGTTGGACCGTGATAAAACTTTAAAGAAGATTTACATACAGTTTGTGTAAATAAAACTATGTATGTTGAGCTTTAATTGTGGTTAGATAATATACAAATTCAAAGGTTTCGGCAGATGCCTTTCATCTGTAGTGCAAGTACAAAAAAATGCAATAATATTATTATAAATTAAATTGTTGAAATGCATGTATATACTACCTTTACCTAAAAATTGGTTTAAACCGTATGGTGTCAATTTAACAACTCCTTTTATTAATTTGTTTTCCATATAAATTCTATCAGGTGTATTACACGCATGCAATATACCAGTAACTACAACGCCCAATATTCCATTATGGTTGGCACTGTTTTAATGTTTAGAATTAGAAATGGGACAAAAGGCTTGTTTATTGATGCTGCACTAAAATGGTCTCCAAGACGATGAACTGTCTCCCAAACATATGATTTTCTGCAATTTGTGACTGTGTGACTGGAGCAAGTAAAACCATCTTTGATCTGAATATTTCCAGAGGCATAGTGATGAAACTTTGGTCTTATCAACTTCAATCACATAGGGGACAGCATCTATAATTGCAACTTTTGTTGCCTTTATGTGCTCTAATAGCAGGGACATGGCCTCTAACCTCAAAACTAATTTAAACAAGAACATACCATCTGTGTCCATTTATTACAAAACAACGGACAGTCATAGTTTCCTGCTATACTCATCGTCCCATCCTCAGTCTTGTAAAAGTTCCATCCCTTTCTCTCAAATTCTTAGACTTCAATTGCTCAGGACTATGCTGACATCTATTTAAATCACAACTCTACATAGAGAGAAAATCCCAGAGCTTAGTTTTGATAGTTCCTTGCTGGATTCACAAGTCACTCATAATTTCTGTATCACATGTTAGACTTTACAAAACTCACATAATATGTTTGTTGCTAGATGTTGCCTGAAATTTGCTAGATCTTTCATGATGTTTGTTTGTTGCTAGATGTTTCATTTCAAGAAGATGTTGAGGGATTCAGGCAGATGGAATAAGCTGAAGAGGATACAGATTAATCGTCGTCGAATTGAGCCCTTAGTGCCACAGTTCACCAAAGCATTGAAAATACTGCCTGAAATTTTAAAGGTTTGTAACTTTATAAGTAGGACAAATCATTAAGAATAAAATTTGCTCAGCGATTATTTATCTTATTTTAAAACATTTAAACTTTAGCATGAATAAATTTTTGCTATAATGAAGGCCATTAAGCCGTAAGCCATTTACATAGCACTGAATTGATTAGTTTTCACTTTCATTGAACCTTATAAACTTTTCATTTGGTACTCTTCGTTTCAACAATTGATTACCAATATCAAAGACCTCTTAATTAATTTTATTTTAAATTTTTACATACCATTCCCAATAAAATCAATTACGGTAAAGTATTTGCTTATGTTTAATGTTTTTCAGGAACAAAGAAGGCAGCAGAAAAGCTCCTAACACACTCCAAATGTGTTCTGTAAATTTGAAAGAAAATAAATCTTAATCTGTAACTGTATGCAAAACCTTACAATTATCAGAGCAAAATCATTTGAAATATTGACACAAGTAGTGCTGAAAAAAATCAAATTCACTATAGCCACAACTTTGCATTCCTTGTGGGCTTCTGGGCAAAAAAGATGCAGTTGAATTAAGTTTTAAGTTATGCCCAGCTTTTACTCTTAATTAAAATCACAGACAGCTGTCCTCCCTGAAAGAACAGATGATAAAATGTCTTCTTAAGTATTTGTAAATATTGTGGTTTATGTTATGTACAGAAAGATACGTAGTACAGAAAGATACGTAAGTGATCTTTTAAATTTTAATATGAAAAATAAAATAAAAAGAAATTATACATATTTTTGGTTTTTCTTTTCATTTTGCTCCTCTCTATGAAGCTTTATGTCACTTAGTTGACTTGTGACTGCTCTTTTTTTCTATACTGTAAATTCTCTTTTCCAAATACATCAATTTTTAAAAGATGAATTTAACTAAATTTATATTCATCTGACATAAAAATAGTTGTAACTGCAAGGGATTTATTTTCCTCAAATTGTTAACCTAAAATTTCAACCCTAGGTGTTGATATAAGAAAAAGGCTAAGTTGATTGTAATTCTTCTGAAGGTAAACAAAGATTTAAGGAAGATTCATGCTACATATTTGAAAACAGTCTTCAGCTGTAAATTATAATTTGTGTGCTTGCCTCCATTAGCCAAAAGGAAATGAGCGAAACAAAGTAAGGGAAAACCTGAAAAAAGGTCACAACAAAACAATAAACGTGTCAGCAAGAAGCCTTCTTTAAGGAACAAGCAACAAACAGTAAAAGGAATATAAAATTAAAATAAACATTCAGCTGCAATGCAGTATCTGAGAGAACAGAAAGAGGAATGTGATGGAACATGAGAAGTGGGAGAGTTAACAGACAATTTGAACGGAAGAGAAGAAAATTTCAAAGGTTTTTATCTTTATATAGCCATTGGTATGCCAGGTTTCCAATTTTAACTTAAATTTTAAGTTTAAAAATTAAATTAAAATTCATGTCTCTGAGAATCCCGTACAAATGCGGCAGCGCTTCTGTTGATGTCCTGCACCACGATTCAGGCATCTGAGGCCCGGCAAGTGCTTGAACAACAGCATGATGTGGATTTGCTTCCCAGGGATATTTACAATATTAAGTCAAGAATAAATAAATCGTCTTCTGATGCAACTGAAACTCAATCTATACTTCATTCTATATCACAAGCTGGTGGAAGTGTGTCCTATGGACTAACAGAAAGTTGGGAATTTAAGTATTTATCATACATGACTTATGATATTAGAATTATTGCCCAATTTCCAGAGGTTTTATTAATGGATTTCACATATAAAACCAATAAATATTTATATCCACTTTTGACTGTAATGGTTATTGATGGAGAGGGCAGGGGCATTCCTGTTCTTCATGGTTTTGTAAAAAATGAAGATAAGGAATCTATTTCTCTTTGTTTCAGCTTCCTCTAAAGAATTCTGATGCCAGTCTTTTCAAGTGCTTTGTGGTTGACAAAGACATGGCTGAAATCTCTGCTATAAATGATCTGGTTCCAAATGTTCCTGTTAATCTATGTCATTTTCACATTAACCAGGCTGTGCACAGGTTTCTTTTGAAACATGTAGGTCCTGAGCATGTTAAGCCAATTCTTGAAGGATTTATGTCTCAAGTTTATACTAAGTCGTGTGATGAATTTTTAAAGTTGATGCAAGACATGAAAGATACTCTTCCTGATGCAGCTTTGGAGTATTTTGAGTCGAACTGGTGCAGTAAGGCCAATTTATGGGCAGCATCATCCAATGCTGATGTTTTAAGACTCCATGCCACAAAACAAATCACTTGGAGTCTTATCATGCCAAAATAAAAAAGAGTTTGACTCATTATCTTTCTTTTTCATCTGCTCTTCGTAACCTTATGTCTTTTGACAACTGCAAAATTACAGTATGTGATCGTTTAAGATTGCTCACTTGGAGTCTTATCATGCCAAAATAAAAAAGAGTTTGACTCATTATCTTTCTTTTTCATCTGCTCTTCGTAACCTTATGTCTTTTGACAACTGCAAAATTACAGTATGTGATCGTTTAAGATTGCTTGCTGCAAACACAGCTCAGTATATGCCATCTGATAATGATGAAAGTGAAAATAAGATTGAAAGTGTTGCTACTTCCTTTGCTGCTGCTCTATTGCTCAATCAGCTCAAATTGTTACGATCTGTTCCGTACTCTGTTGTCCCTGGAGAGGCAGAACTTTTTTCAGTAGCTTATAAGGAACGTATTTTTAGCTCAACATCAGTTCAATGTAATTGTTCATTTTCTAAAAAGATGGCATTACCTTGCAGACATATTTTTTCAGTTCGAAGACATTTACAGCTTCCAGAATTTTGTTCAGAGTTAATTCCATGCCGTTTTAGCAAACATAGTGTTCCTAGAGTGGTTGCTTCTACTTCTAGTGGTTCAGTAACTTCTCAAATTGTATCTACTAGAAACAATAATTTTAAGACTCAAGAGGGTCGGTTTAATCATGCTAAAAGAATTTGTATGGGGTTGGCAAATTTTTTGGCGATGCAAGGAGAACAAGATTTTGTAGAGAAAATATCCTTTCTTGAAATTACTATAAGTCTCTGGAAAAGTCCTGAAAATTTAGATGAAAATGAATCAGCGTCACAACTTGATGAAGGTGAACCACAAACAAGTTTCATTCAAAGTCAACTAATTGATTTTGTCGATATAAATGACATTCATTTTCCCCATGAGGAAACAGTTGCTGCAAATAATTTAGAAAAAATTGAAACTGAAAATAGTATTAGTTCCTTTGGGAAGGTTAACTTTGACAGAGTTCGCCCAAAGGAGTGACTGAAGGTAAAACAAAATTTTACCCTGAAAAGAAAAAGATAGCTGTTCCAACAATTTTCATCTACTTGTATAAAATAAATTTGTGAATGTTTTTAATGTTCTGAAAATTATAACTTTTTGGTGTGTAAATAAATGGCTGCCGCTATTCAAACCGGTTCCAATAGACCAATGCTATTCGGATGTCATTTGTGGTAGTTTATTTTAGTTAACATTTCTTTAGTTAAACTGAAGAATTAAGTTTACAAACATATAGTCCATTCAATTATCTTTCATTTAATACCAAATTTTGTCTTACAACCTAACAATAATTTTTTGGAATGTGTTCATGATGTATGCATCCAATGTTGTTTCAGTGTCTTTTTCAGCTTTTATAGAGATAGCATTTTCATTTTTTTTTCCTGACATCAATTGACGAATCAGGAGGAATAGTTTTGGAACTACATAATTGAAACTTTGCATGCTTATTTATATTGAGATTCTTTACTTTATGATGGATTGTTTTTTAAACAAATGTCTCATAGGAAAAGTTTTCAGAATGTTTGTATTTATTTATTTTATTTATAAGGTTCGTGTGTTAATTTTTTTTTCTTCTATCTTTTCTGTCTTAGTTTTCTAATTGTTTTTTAAATCATGAAGGATATATGTACAAGGTGTATGCATCCTATATCGTTCATGCAGCCTAAATAAATAGAGCCATTGAAAAAAAATATAGTACACACAAACCATACACAAACAGAAAGACAAAAATCCATTAAAGTTTTTTTTTTAAAATTTATTTTGACTTATTGCAAAAAATTAAACATTTAATACCAATTTTGACTTTACGCAAAATGAATAAAGACAAATTTGTATTGCATTGTATTGTAACTTATTGTACTGTATTGCAAATGAAACTTAGCAAACACATTAAGAATAACATTGACAAAAAGTTTAAAGAAGATTATTACACAGCAGTTATTGGAAGTGTTACAAATGGCATATAAATATTTGAGAACTCTTCAGGGGTAGCAAATGTAAAAATGTTATAAAACTTTCTAGTTGGCAGTTGTATATATATATATATATATATATATAAAAGCCTCTTGAATTCCGTAAAGAATATCAATGAAAAGAAGCATGCAATGTTTGAAGGCTGTAGCTAGAATACTTTTCCTCCCGATTCATTTGGTGTTCCTTAAAAATCCGGAAAATGCAAAATGTAGAAAAATGAAAAAAAAAAAAATTGTGTTTTTTAAAATTAGAGTACGCATGAACGATATAGGATGCATACACATGTACATATATCCTTCATGATTTAAAAAAAAATATTAGAAAACTAAGACAGAAAAGATAGATTCGATTCCCTTAGATTTAAAGTCAAAGAATGCCTCACTACTCTTCGGTGGAGACTTTGTTTGCATAATGCATTGAAAGAAATTAAAATATATTTTCTACCTAGTACATATGGCATATAAACTCGTCTTTAATTAATTTTAAAAAATTAATTAGAAATATTATGGGCACCAACTTATGATACTCGGCTCTGAAGTATACATTATATAATATTACATTTAATATATCGTTAGTATTTGGATATTTATTATATTTAAAGACAGCTCCTGTAAAATCTTAACGGTGAATCTACTTGATGACAGTGCGGGCGAACTGTAGTTAGTAACGCTAGCTAACGCTGCTGAAAGAAAAACAAAAATTAAAGCTTGACACCATAAGTCAGCGCAGAGGCGTAGCGTGGTGGGGGCAGATGTCCCCGGGCGCCAGCTAGCTAGGGGCGCCAAAATGTGCTTTTATATTATTTTATTGATGAAAATAATGGGTTTGAGAGTTGAAAAAAAGAAAAAAGGGCGCTAAAAATGGATCTTGTCCCCGGGCGCCAAACACCCTCGCTACGCCACTGAGTTAGCGATCACCCGTGAAGAGGGATGAAAAGATTTTCACTTCAGGATCAGACTCGCAACACGGATGGGTGCAAAAAAAAGTAGTTAAAACATCGTGACTCGAAGGACAGATGCTACTTAAAAAATATAAATAAAGGAACATTTAATGAAAAATAATATTTTAAAAATATTTTATTAAAAATTATTTTGAAGACATATGCTACAAACATTAAATATTGAAAGGCTACATCTAAAGGTACCCGAGTACCTTTAATTGCAAATCACTATTCGCACCCGAAGTGGCTCCGTACAGGTTAAATGGCTTCAGAGCCGGGTGTGATAACAATAATAGTATGAGAATTATTTTTTTAAAAATTGTTTTTCTCCTTGTTATTTCATAGATTCATAGTTTTATTCTTTTTAGTTGTTTTTTTTTATTTTTGCTATGTTAATTTCTCTTAGGACGGGTAGATTTTTTTCTTTCCTATTTTCTTTTTTAGTTTAAGCCATTTTCAAAGATGATTTTTTTTTAAAAATCTAGTAATGAAGATGATTTAGATACATTTATTGTT